GAGACAGATCTCCCCCCGGGAGCGTGGCCATGCTATAATCCCTTCTCCTCCATTCTCTGCCTGGAATCAAGGATACACATGCACATGTGCCCGGTGGTTGTGAACTGTGGTCAGCGATGTGGGAGGCCAGTGACAGAGCCACCACACCATCTGCTGGGCCCCATCTGTCATTCATTTCATGCTAGCTCTAAAACATACCTGGAATCTCTCCATTTCTCTCATCTCCACTGCTACTCTCCATTTTGAGACCACTGACACAGACTCTAAAAGCCTTTCAGTTGGGCTCTCCTATTATTATTTTTTAAAATTTGACAGAGAGACAGACTGACAGAGAAGGAAAGGGAGAAAGCACCCACCTCATGGGAAATGGTCACATGGCACCCTCTTCTCCATTTCTCCATCCTCTCTGTATTCGGGGATGCATATACACATGTGCCCAGTGTGTTTTTCAGGCCACCACATTCAAGACTTGAAGCAGGTGGTCAGCCATGTTGGATCTGGCTGCTTTAACCACTAGGCCGCATGCTGGCCCATCTCCTATTCTTTACCCCTCCAATCAATCACAGCAGAGAAGCTAGAACAGTTTTCTTAAAATATGACTTGTATGTATTTATTACCTTCATCTCTCCAATGCCTTGGCTCAAAACCCATCCATATTTCTCTTACTCTTACAGTAAAATCTAACTTCTCATGGTCAAGGAGATCTTAACCTTGAATGCACAACGCTCCCAACTTCATTTCAAATAACTGCCCCCCTTATCTTCATGGTGATTGAAGAATTTTATTTCTCAAAAACGTCAAGTTCTCCCTTGCCCAGCTCAGTTACTTAAAACTGTTCACAAGTCTAGTTCCTTCTGATCTTTGAAATCCTATCTTAAATTCACTCTCTGGCCAGCCTTATGGCTTTGTGGTTAAGGGAGCCAGATCCCACAAGGCCAGTTACGTGGTTCAAATACCAGCCATTGTGGCTTAGCATTTACACCACAAGTGTGTACATGTATACCTCAAATCCCCAAAAATGCAGAAGTGGAGGAGAAGGGATTGGGCATGACCACACCTCATTGGGAAGCGCTTTCTCCCTGTCTCCACGTCTCTGTCTGTCTCTGGCAAATGCATGTGTCCTCTTGCAAATAAAAAAATCACTTCCTCAGAGAAAGCTTTGATGACTCTCATACCTGAAGCTGACACTACACAACACTGTTCTCTGTCAAAGCACCTTGATATTATCTCTCAAAGCACTTAATGCGGAGGCTCATTAAAACACACAGGTACTTCAAATATGCTTTCTCTTCCTCCTCCTCCTCATCTTCCTCCTCTTTTCTTTCCAGACTAGCTGGCTCCTCCTTGACCTCACCACAGATAGCTCTTTTATTTTCCTAAGTCTTTGCCTACAGATATGGAGACTAAGACCCATCTCTTGCTGACTCTACAACATCAACAAACACATGGCAGGTCAAAGTGGTCAGATACGACAACTACAGATACCAATGAAGTAGTCCGGAGATTGTGAAAAATCAACGGGCACCCTGTCCCAGAATTGCCCTAATTAGCCACCTATAGGTCCCACTTTCTTTCAGTCTCAATAAAAGCTCCTTGCCCCTACCCTTCTAGGCTATTGCGACTCTCCACAACTGGTCCCTATCTGTCATTTGCAAAGTGAACACATTCTTTTCTATCCTTCTCTCTGAGCTTATGAATTTTTCCACAGCCCAGACCAAGGCTACCCTACCACATTGTAGCGATCACCCCAACAGGTAGGAACACATCTGCGTATTAACCATTGTGTTTCTTTGTTCAGCATACTCCTTGATGAACATGAAGCCCTTAATGATAAATACTTACCCCAACGAATGATCCAGATCCAAAAGATTAATTCATAGGATGGGAGAAATTGTGAGAGGGGCAGCTGCTCAGTGTCGAAATGTAATATGGACAAAGTGTCCAGGTATCTTTCAGAGATTGTTTCCCTCCACACCGATTCACATCAACTGAGCAATGCAAGTCTTTGTACCCACCTGACTGAGGCCGTAATAAACCTGGCTTTGGCTTTCCTCACGACGGCTGAATTGGATTAAGCCTGGGGGAAAAAAAAATGGCCCATCTCTTATTATATTCACATTAGGCAATTTAAAAAATAAAAACGTACATCTAGGTACATAGATTATACCACAGAGTTATTTCACAGGTCATTAGATTACTTGTTATTAGACACCATTAAATTAGGAGGGTCAATGGCAACGCGGGATACCAACCTAAGAGAGAATAGTTTCACTTGATTCTATTTTACATATTGTCTCTGTCAACATTACTGGCCCCAAAATAGAGATATTTCATGACCACCATTCAGACCCCTGAGTCCCTAACTCCTTGGAGTTCTATGCTTGGGCTGAAATAATCTAGCCTGAGGGATGTTTTTTCCCATTTCTCTAGCAAAATAAAGTCATCGATCACATAGCAAACATTGCAAAGTACACACACTGATCCTGTGTGAGCCTCACCAAGCGAATTGAGTTTCGTAGGGTGTACGGCTGGTGAGCATCGGGTGCTCAGTGTGGCTAAGAGAACCACCATCACAGCCTCATTGGAAAACCAAGGAGCAATTTTCTTAGGTGTATGCTAGAGAGGAGAACAATGTGAAATGCTAAAGGCTGCATATTTAGAAAAAATGGCTATTCTTTGATATATTCTAATCTACCAAAGGCCTGTTATCAAAGGGAGAAGAATGTAAATAGTATTTAATATCCATAAATATGAACTGAAGAAACAGTTGCTGGGGCAGCAGATGGTGTAATGGTTACGTGACTGAACTCCCACATAGTCGGTTCAAATCCCAAACCTGGTGGCTTAAAATTCACGCTGTGTGTGTGTGTGTGTGTGTGTGTGTGTGTGTGTGTGTCCAAAATTCTGAGAGGAGAACGGAGGATAAGCGATTGCAACATGGCCATCCCTCCTGGGAAGGGAGGGGAGGGATTTCTCACTTTCTGTCTCTCTGGCAAGTACTAGTGCCCTATTGCCAAAGTCTTTCTCTTAAAAAAAAAAAAAAAAAAAGGAAATAGTTGCCAAAACTTGGGGTTTAATCAAAATAAATGAATTCTCTAGGATTCAGAAGACTAGGAGATACAATCTTTTCTAATGCTTAACACAATGTAGTTTTATACCAATAGTTCTCCAACTCTAATCTGTGACCTCCCTAAAGAACTAAACGTTCTGGGACCAGCAGTTAGCATAATGGCTATGTCGCTGGACTCCCATGTAGTTGACCGTGGTTTGGGTCCCAGACCCGGTGGCTTAAAACTCACACCGGGCGCATGTGCGTACGTGCCCAAAATCCCGAGAGGAGAATGGAGGAGAAGGGATTGCGGTGTGGCCATCCCCCATGGGGGGTGATTTCTTGCTTTCAGTCTCTCTGTCTCTGTCTGGTGAGCACACACACCCTGTAGCAAAAACCTCTTAAAAAAAAAAAAAGAACTAAATGTTCTGGGGTCAAAACTATTCTGGTAATAATGGCCATAAGAATAACATGCTACCTGCTTTTCTGTCTTAGTCTTTCACAAATGCCCAGTGGTTTTCCCCCGGAGGTGATGGGACTCCCAAGTCAGAAGCAATGAGAATACTACTTGCCACACCAAAATTCTTTTCTCCCTTCCACTCCTGGGATTCTGGGCATGGATGCACTGGAGCCCAGCATGTCTTTCAAGCTGCCAGGTCTAGGACCTGAACTGATGTCGGCCATGTGGGAGTCCAACTCCACAGCCACCATGCCACCTGCTGGCCCCTGGCAACAATACTTTTAGAAGTACCTCAGCACTTGCGTTTCACAGAATGACTTCAGATCAGCTGACTGTTTCTCCCAAAATTCCTAGAACGGAACAAAATTTTCAGTATTTAACAGTTATCCTGCCCTGGAACAGCTCCTCTTAGGTCACAGAGAACATTCCAAACAAAACATACTCACCATGACATCTTTCTCAAGGTGCTTCAGAGCCTGAAAATCCTTCTCAAGATTGCTCAACTCTTGAAGAACCAAACTGTGAAACTGCTCTAATTTACTGAGTCTGATAAACACAAAAACAACAAATTTCATTGGGACTGCTTGGATGTGACAAAAGAGACTACATTGTCACAGGGTGTACATGCATACGTGTGTGCACAGAATGTGCATATTGTATTTTCAATCATGGTAACATACATGTAAAATTCGCCATTAACCATTTGTAAATGTATAATTCAGTGGCATTAAGGACATTCCCTATGTTCCGTGACCATCACCACTATCCATTTTCTAGAACTTTCCCATCATTCCAAATAGAAAATCCGCACCCATTAACAACTCTCCCTTCCCTCAACCTCTGGCAACTGCCACTGCGTTTTCTGAGTTTGATTGTTCTGGGTGTCTCACAGAAGTGGGAACATATAATATGTGTTCCTTACATCTAGCTTATTTCCCTTAGCATAATGTCTGTTGATGGTTTACCGGATAGGATTTTAGCATGCGCCATAATTTAATTCCTTAAGGCTGAGTGACAGTCCATCTTCTGGACATACCACATCTCAACAATTCAGCATCTTCTGCATGTATATCCACGTTTTTCCAGTCTTTGTGATTCAGTATGTTTTTGAAAAACCAGGTATTTTACGATCACATAACAGTAGCCCATGATGGGGCCTAAGGGGGGTTTATAAAGGGCAGGATTAAACTAAATGATCCATCTTATGGCTGAAGAACCAGAAACCCAGAAGGGTTAAGTGACGTATCAAACCTCTCATCTGCTGAGGCTTCAGTTCCCCAGGGCATCAGCACAGGGGGTCACAGGACGAATGCTGTTTATAATCTGTAAACTTGTTTTGAAATCCAATCCTTACCTGTACAGGTGTATCTGGTTTAAAAGTTTTATTAGGCAATCCGGTGCCTTCTTTGCACTTTCTGGATAAAGTGGACTCTTTCTGTACCTAAACTAAACGACAAGAATAAAATGACCATATTTGGTTTATACATGACAACGTAAGTCAAGGGTATGCTTTGCATTGAGAAGATGCTACCAGCACATAATGTTATTCATAGCCAACATTACTGCTAAAGGACTCTGATGAGGCACCGTCCTTCCTACCTTTCAGGTGGTATCACAAGTTAGGAACCAATAAAGAACAAGCTAAGCAACTGGCAGATGGCATAATGGTTACAACACTGGACTCCCATGTAACTGACCAACAGCTTAAACTCATGCCAGGCACATGTGCATGCATGCCCAAAATCTCAAGAGGAGAATGGAAGAGAAGGGATTGTGGTATGGCCATCCCCACTGGGGGGTGATTTCTTGCTGTCTCTCTGTCTCTGTCTCTCTGGCAAGCGCACACACACCATAGAGAAAAAAATCTCCTTAAAAATAGAACAAGCTAAAATAGGAAAACTTTTATCATGCTACTGATACAATATTGAAAACTATGAAAAAAATAAAATCTTCATAAACCGGATAGGATTTTAGCATGCGCCATAATTTAATTCCTTAAGGCTGAGTGACAGTCCATCTTCTGGACATACCACATCTCAACAATTCAGCATCTTCTGCATGTATATCCACGTTTTTCCAGTCTTTGTGATTCAGTATGTTTTTGAAAAACCAGGTATTTTACGATCACATAACAGTAGCCCATGATGGGGCCTAAGGGGGGTTTATAAAGGGCAGGATTAAACTAAATGATCCATCTTATGGCTGAAGAACCAGAAACCCAGAAGGGTTAAGTGACGTATCAAACCTCTCATCTGCTGAGGCTTCAGTTCCCCAGGGCATCAGCACAGGGGGTCACAGGACGAATGCTGTTTATAATCTGTAAACTTGTTTTGAAATCCAATCCTTACCTGTACAGGTGTATCTGGTTTAAAAGTTTTATTAGGCAATCCGGTGCCTTCTTTGCACTTTCTGGATAAAGTGGACTCTTTCTGTACCTAAACTAAACGACAAGAATAAAATGACCATATTTGGTTTATACATGACAACGTAAGTCAAGGGTATGCTTTGCATTGAGAAGATGCTACCAGCACATAATGTTATTCATAGCCAACATTACTGCTAAAGGACTCTGATGAGGCACCGTCCTTCCTACCTTTCAGGTGGTATCACAAGTTAGGAACCAATAAAGAACAAGCTAAGCAACTGGCAGATGGCATAATGGTTACAACACTGGACTCCCATGTAACTGACCAACAGCTTAAACTCATGCCAGGCACATGTGCATGCATGCCCAAAATCTCAAGAGGAGAATGGAAGAGAAGGGATTGTGGTATGGCCATCCCCACTGGGGGGTGATTTCTTGCTGTCTCTCTGTCTCTGTCTCTCTGGCAAGCGCACACACACCATAGAGAAAAAAATCTCCTTAAAAATAGAACAAGCTAAAATAGGAAAACTTTTATCATGCTACTGATACAATATTGAAAACTATGAAAAAAATAAAATCTTCATAATAAATGGCTTACACAGATATCATGGAAAATAAGACTTTAGAAACCTTCCAAGTTAGTTAAATGAACATTGGTTAGGGTAAGATAGAATACTTTTCTCAACTGTGCTAATAAGTAAGTCATTAGGGATTAATAAATAACAGGACGAACAAGAAGATGGGAGTGGTTGTTACGGCCATCTTGTAGATGAGACTTGGAGACAGATTCAAGAATCTTCCACCCTCGGCCAATGGCCCACCCACAGTCTATTCCACACATGTCCTGGACTCCTCTCTCATTTACATGGCTTCCCCATTCCCCTCCTCCTGGTCTTTCATGGTGACCAAATCACTGCTTCCTAGTTGAGAGTCAACCAGTGAGACCCAACCAAGAGTCAGATTTCCCATTCAGCACCTTTGGTCTCATTGGAGCAAATGAACACAGAATTGTTCTTATGAATAGAAACCTCGGTTTATGAAGACGTTGAAACCAGTGCCTTCAGCTAAGGCAAATACTCTTCTCGAGAGATACAGGAGTGTTTTTACACATGAAGGGTTACAAGAGCACTGACAAAAAATAAGATCTTGTTAATTCAAACAGTGAATGAGCTAGTGTTTTTTGTTGTTTTTGAGAGGTTTTTGCTATAGAGCACATGTGCTCGCCAGAAAGACAGAGAGAGACTGAGAGACAGAAAGCAATCCCTTCTCCATTCTTCTCCCAGGATCTTGGGCACGCACACACATGCGCCTGGCGTGAGTTTAAACCACCAGGTCCAGGACTCAAACCACTGTTGACCACATTGGAGTCCAGTGGCGTAGTCATTACACCAACTTCTGTGTTTTTTTTTTCAGCTTTACTGAGGTATAACTGACAAAGAGCCTTTATTTATTTATTTATTTATATATGTGTGTGTGTATATAATATATACATACATATATTCAAGATGTATGTGTGATATTTTGTTATCTATATCATTGTGAAATGATTATCACAATCAAACCAACATGGATCACTTCAAAGTTCTGTATGTGATAATAATACCTACTCTCTTAGAAAACATTAGGTATATAATACAATATTGTGAACTATAATCACCATACTGTATATTAATCACCACAACTTACTCGACTTACAACTGAAAGTTTGTACCCTTTAACCAATATTTCTCCACTCTGTCTACCCCACTTACCACCTTTCTGTTCAGTACAACTTTTTTAGATTCCACATATGCAAGAGTTCTCTAAAGTTCATGGAAAATACATATTATCTAAAAATATGCATAAATTTCAGGGATGGCAGGTGGTGTGGTGGTTAAGGCATTGGACTTCCATGTAGACAAGCATGGTTTAAGTCCTGGGCCTGGAGGCTTGTTTTCTCACTCTCTCTTTCATCAAATTAAATAATAAAATTAAATAAATGATTCTTTAAAAATGTATACATACATTTGAAAAATGGGTTGCATACGATAAACTTACACTTTCATTCTATTTTTTTTTTTTAACGAATGTTTTGAAATGCTCCCTAATGAGATCATGCAATGTTTGCCTGGTTTATTTTCACTCAGCATGATTTATAAGAGGTGAGTTTTTTATTTCTAATCAATCATTACCTCATATTTTCTTTTCAGTTCTCTTGCGAAGTTTTCAAAAGTTGTGATAATGGCAGATCCATCTAAGCTCTCAGGCATAACCTCTAGGGATGGAGCAGAAATACTTTCTGAACAACAAAAAATACAACATTAAATAAAACTAACAAAGTGCTCAAAGCCGATGTGCTCAATCCATCAGGTGCCCGATGATGGGACAGTCCACTGGAAGCACAAATATGAACCATAGAAACCTCTCTAGCCACCAGGCTGTGACTCTGCAGTGTGGCTGATTCGGCCATGACAGCAGAAAGGTCAGGTCATGCCAGGCGCCCCATTCTGCCTCCCACCCCACCAATCCTTACTCTGGCAAATACTCACTTTATCCAAACCTTCCTGGACCTTTTTTTTTTTTTTTTTTTTTTTAAGAGATTTTTGCTATAGGGCATGTGTGCTCGCTAGAAAGAGAGATAGAGAGAAATCACCCCCCTGGGAGGATGGGCATGCCGCAATCCCTTCTCCTTTCTCCTCTCAAGATCCTGGGCACGCACGCACATGCGCCTGGCGTGAGTTTAAGCCACCAGGTCTGGGACTCAAACCGCAGTCGACTACATGGGAGTCCAGCAACATACCCATTACGCTAACTGCTGGTTCCCCTTCCTGGCACTTTAATCAGAGCAACTCAATATATCTAAGAAGCAGGCTGAGGCCTTGTAAGAGGTCTCAAGGACATAATCGTCAACACATTTCTATGAGGTGCCAGTTTTATGAGGATTCAACAGGGGTTGGCACTATACTAAATGATTTTCATGTGTCGACTCATGCGGTCCTCACAAAAATCACATGAAATAAGTCCTGTTATGATCCACTTTTAACAGAGAAATCACACACCCTGTGCAGACTAACACCAGAAGCTTCCAAATGTGTCTTTTTTTAGAAGGTTTTGTTTCAAAACCCATGGGAATTTTCCTGCCAGCCCCATGTGTGCAGACACTGCAGATCATTATCCTCACTTGGTAGATTATGTATTTCTAACATGAACATCTAGTTAGCCACTATAAACTAAAGCAGAGATCTGTAACGACAGGAATTCTCAGGCCCTGAAAATTGCCATAAAGGAGTTAAGAGACAGAAATCAGGGGCTGGCAGATGGTGTGGTGGTTAAGGGTGCTGGACTCCCACATGGCAACCGTAGTTCAAGTCCCGGACCTGGCGGCTCTCAGGTGTTCACATTCTCCCTTACTCTCCCCCTCACTCCCACTCTCTCTGTCCCTCTCTGGTCAAATTAAAAAATATATAAAGCTAAATAAAAAATAATTTAAAAAGAGCTAGAAATCAAAATGCTAGAAGGCCATAGTGCTTATATTTATCTATCATTTGTGCAACAATTTGTCTTGCAAGGACAAAACATTTAGTTCTTGGGCTTCTGTAGCTACGACAATCTTCACACGGTAGCTCCCTTGTAATTCACGTTGGTTCGCCCAGGGCTGACCCACTTCCCACACTCCTACCAGAGCTGCTGGCTGCGTGCATGCCGTTACCTGCCAAGTCTGTTTCTTTTGTCACTAGGGGAAGGGACTCCGGACCATCGCTGTCTTCCAGTCTTGACTGCTTTGTCTTAGCGAAACTACCATCTGGTACGTCTAAAGGCAAACACAGCAATTAATGACCCTCGCACACGTCTCTTCTGTCCCAAATACACCCTGTGCTCTTTTGCAGCAGTTAAATTCAAGCTTGAGAGTAGCATGTGAAACATATCCCCCGCCTGCCACTACTTTTCATTTGGTGCACTGACAAGCACCACCTAAACAGAAAAGCGCTAAGTCTACAAATACCTGAACGAGGACTTGCAGAAAGATGTCCCCGTGAGCTTGGTCACATTTAGAAATGCTCTTAGTGACACACAGACAGGCTTGCCTAGCAGAATTTTTTCATTGTTAATGGGTATGTGCACTCGCCAGAGATAGAACTCCCCCCCCCCCAATTGGGTGTGGGCATGGCACAATCACAATCTCTTCTCTTCCATTTCTCTGTACCATCAGGATTTGGGCACACACTCCCTGCAGGTTTCTCAAGCCACCAGGGCCAGGATTCGAACAGCAGTTGGCCATGTGGGCTCCAGCTTTCTAGGAACAGCACCGGACCACTGCCCTAGGTGCTGGCCCTCAGGATGTTTTAAGTCAAGGTGGGCATCAAAAACAATCTCTCTCCCCAGGGGGTGATCTCTCTCTCTCCCTCCCGCTCCCTCTCTCTCTCAGCAACCCTGGTGAGTACACATGCCCTGTGGTAAACTAAAATAGAAATTCCAGGGTCCAGGACTTGAACTGCTTAGTCAGCCATATGAAATCTAGCACATTAACCACCAAGCTAGTGGTTAACCACCCTTCTTTTTTTCTTGGCTTACCTACTTCTTTCTTTCATGAGAGAAAGGATATATATAGAGAGACTGAGACAGAGACAGGCAGGTGCACACACACACACACACACACACACACACACACACTCCCCACCCCCCCACCCACCCCCCGGTGGTTGATTTCTCGCTTTCTGTCTCTCTGTCTCTGTCTTTCTGGTGAGTGCATGCACCCTATAGCAAAAACCTCTCAAAAAAAAAAAAGTCAATGAATTGACAATAAATATTTACTCAGAACTCTCTCTGATACAAAATCATGCAGAAGTTCATCATTAAATGCTATAATTTCTTAAGTTTTTTTTACTCCATTCCCTAGGCAGATATATTCCGAATGCCTCCACGTGCCAGGCACTGAGCACTGAATGGAACAAAGGAGCCTCCACCCGTCTCCTTCCGGACTCTGGAGGCCTCCGCGAGAAGGTCGATAAGTGCAAAATGCAAAATCATAAATAAATCATTCAGCTTGCTTGTCATTCTCGCAGAAATGACACATCAAAAATCCAGGGTGAACACTAAAACGCAAGTTGACATTTGATGGAGGTTGCTGTTAGGAATCAGCAGAACAATTCAAATGTTTTAAAGGCCACTACTTTCTCTGAAGGAAATCACTTAATGCATCTCCTTCAAGAAAAAACATAACTGCCCTAGCCCCTGTGGCTGAAAAACTCTGTCTCTATCTGGGGTCTTCCCCAATCCAAGCCTCTTCTCCACGCTGCCCTTCTGTTGAAGCCTTGGAAGAAAGAAGCAGCTTTTGTGTAAGGAAAGGGCTCTTACTGATGATACTAACAGGAAGAAAAAACCAATAGGACCTTAGAATCTATCTTTCAAAAGAAATACAACATATCCCCCAAAAGAAATGCCAAAAATAAAAAGCCTTCTTATAAAGTTCTTCGGGCAAAGAAAGCAAAAGGACAACGACCCCAGGAGGAAAGATCCTGAAAAACATTCTCAACATGATTTTTAAGTACATGGGGTGTTCAAAGGACGATGAAATCTCAGTATCTGGCATCTTTGGTTTCCTTGACGTTGTGCATGGTAAACTTGGTATTTCTACTTTTATCATATTTCTATAGTTTCTCGACCCATTCAGTTTGGCTGTTTTCAACAGAACTAAAACAGAAACAGTAAATCTAACCAGACATTGTATAAAGTAGGAACAAAAAAACTCCTCTGAATTTAAAACAGACAACAAAACAAAACAAAACCCAGGTGCAATTCCCGCTAAAAAAAACCTAGCGGCAGACTGGCAAAGAAAAAAACAGGTAGGGACCAGCAAATGGCATAATGGTTGTATTGCTGGACTCCCACGTAGTTGACCGCAGTTCGAGTCTCGGACCTGGTAGCTTAAAACATGCCAGGAGTATGTGCGTGCATGCCCAGAATCTCGAGAAGAGAACAGAGAAGGAACTGCGGTGTGGCCATCCCTCCTGGGGGGTGACTTCTTGCTGTCTCTCTCTCTCTCTCTCCAGTGAGTGCATGTGCCCTAGAGCACAAATTTCTCTTTAAATGAAAATAAAAAATGGGTAAAAATGTATGAAACATAGTGAAGGACAGGTGCTATTATTTCACTACACTATTATATGAGAATGTTGTCAACTTAACATAACATTTGAACTAGCCTGGAAACCATACTAACACTACCATGAAAAAACCAATTCTTTTTGCTATAGGGCATGTGTGTTCACCAGAGAGAGATAGGGGAAGACAAAAAGAGGAAAGTGAGAAATCACCTCCCCAGAAGGCATGGCCACACTGCTACCCCTTCCGATCCATTCTCTTCTCAGGATTTTGGGTACACATGCACAACTGCCAGGCATATTTTTTTAAACCACTGGGTCCAGGACTCAAACTGCACCATCAGCTATGTGAAATCCAGTCTCTGAAATCACACCACCTGCTGGTCCCCAGAAGCTTTAATGAATCGGCCACACCACCTTTCAGAACATTATTTATAAACTACAATACAAGTGACCTGCATACATGGGAAGAAATGTGTTCCTCCTAGGCCAGATCCTTACGAAAATATTTCCACTGTGCACTCCCTCTGAGGCTGCAGAGGAAACATGACTGGTTGATTAGATTTTGGTCCCAGGCCATATCTCCTTGGGCACAAGAGGTTCTAGTTTCTGAGTGGAGGTCCCTGTTTCTCCCCTTGACCTTCATGAACATCTAGAACTGGTAACAAGTTCACACTGCCCACTTCATGGCGGGGCAATGGTCACTCTGCAAAGTGATTTTACCTGCTGAAACCTGAGACGAGCCCAAAGCATTTATTCTCTCACCTCCATCGTCCAAGTTTTGCAGCTTATGCTTGAAGCTGGTACTTTCCATTAATGACTCTTGATTCATGATCTTAAAGACAAAATATATAAATTTTAAAAAGCATATGGCTCAGAAATAAGTAACACTATCATCTAAAAAAAAAATGAGCCAGTATGTTATGCAAATACACACTAGTACTAATTCTGGAAAACCAGGTGAATAAAATAATACCTCCAATACATTTTCTTCAACTTCTGAGTGCTCCGAGGAAGACAAATCACTCAGTAGAACTGGACTTTGAAGTTCTGAGTATTAGAAATAAGTTTCACGTGAATAAACACACCAAGAAACAATGTGAGTCAGTAACAGTTAACTATTACTCATATTAAATATTAAAAACGGGACAGTTCTAAATAAGACAAGCATTTTGGACAAGAGATATTCAATTTTTATAAGGCTGTTTCACCTTGTTCAAATTTATTCCTAAGGATTTTATTCTTTTTGGTGCTATTATAAGTGGGATCATTTGCTTGATTTCTTTTTCTGATAGTTGTCAGTATAGAGTAATGCGACTCATTTTTGCATGTTGATTTTGTATCCTGCAACTTTACAGAACTCACTAGTTCTAATAGTTTTTGAGTAGTCTTTGAGTCTTTCTAAATGCAAGGGCATACCATCTGCAAGCAGAAATAGTTTAACTTTTTTCTTCCCAATTTGGGTACTTTTTAAATTTATTTTTAATTTGCTATAGGGCATGGGTGCTTACCAGAGAGAAGGGGGGTGAGGAGTTAGAAATAAGCCATCAGGTCCAAGACTCTGACAGTGGTTAGTCATGTGGGAGTCCTACACCCTAACTACTATGCCATCTGCTAGCCCCTGGATACCTTTTTATTTTTCATGTCTAATTGCTCTGACTAGTACTTCCAGTATTGTATTTTGAATAGTGTGGTGAGGGTGGGCACTCCTGTCTTGTTGCTAATCTCAGAGGTTTTGAATTTTTCATTGAGTGTGATGTTAGTTGTGGGTCTCTTAAAAAATGGCCTTTTTAGAATGAGATATTCTTTCTAAATCTAATTTGTTGAGTATTTGTATCATGAAAAGATACTGAATTTTATCAATTATACTTCTTGTGTCTGTTGAGATGGTCTTATGATTTTTAGCCTTTTTTTTTTTTTTTTAAAGAGAAATTTCTGCTATAGGGTATGTGAACTTGCTGGAGAAACAGAAAGTGGTAAATTATCCCTCAGGGGTGACAGCCGTGCCACAATCTCATCTCCTCCATTCTCCTCTCAGGATTTTGAGCACAATGCCCAGTGTGATTTTCAAGCCACCAGGTCCAGGACTCAAACTACAGTTGGTCATGTGGGAGTCCAGCACCTTAACCACTATACCACCAGCTGGCCTCAATCCTTTATTATGTTAATATGGTTTGTCACATTTACTGATTTGCATATGTTGAGCTATCCTTCATCCTGGTCATGGTCCATGATCCTCTCAATGTACTCTGACTTCTAGAAGTTTATTTCCTTTATGAGAGGTTAGAGCGAGAACTCACACAGGTGTTCCAGAAACACTCAAAGTAGTCTTGTCATGCTGCAATTAATTCCCTCCCACCAGTCCTTCAGCCAGCCAGGATCTTGGCGAATACACTGGTGACTTCCAGCACTACAGCAGCACACTGCCATGGCTGCCACCATCTGAGCCGAATGTGCTCAGTTTGTTAGCATTTTGTTGAAAAAGTTTGCATCTATGTTCAAAGATACTAGTCCATCTTATAACATTTTTAACCGGCTTTGATATCAGTACTGCTCATCTCATAAAATGAGTTTGTAAGTGTCTCTTCAACTTTCTCAGAATGTGTGAAAATAGGGAACCAGCAGTTAGCATAATGGCTATGTCGCTGGACTCCCACGTAGTTGACCGCGGTTCGCATCCTGGACCCGGTGGCTTAGAACTCATGCCGGGCGTGTGTGCGTGCATGCCCAAGATCCTGAGAGGAGAATGGAGGAGAAGGGATTGTGGCGTGACCATCCCCCCTCGGGGGTGATTTCTCGCTTTCTGTCTCTATGTCTCTCTCTGTCTGGCGAGCACACACGCCCTATAGCGACAACCTCTCAAAAAAAAAAAAAAAAAAGAAACAAAAAAAAAAAATGGG